GGGGGGGGGGGGGGGGGGGGGGGCTCCTGTGGGATGGGGGAAAAAAGTGAGAGCTGATGAGATGGTGGTTAGAGAATTATTCTCCACATAAGTTTACAGCATCTTTAATAAATAGTATGCCATGGAATGAAGTAATAAGAGAAGTGAGCTGAATTCGCTTGATCCTTCCACGCAAGGACTCGCTACAGAAACTCCTAGTGCAGTTGAAACATGTAAATTACGATGAGATTGAACAGTGAATAATTTTATTTACAATACATACAATTGTGGTAATTGGTTATGTAATATTATTCAAACGTAAGGCAAAATTCTCCATAAGTAATCGAATGTTGTATTCGCCTGGCAGACTAAATAAAAATAGAAAAAAATAAAATAAATAACAGCAAAGAAAATGTCGATACTGGCAGATCGATACCTAGTGTATATACAGTCAACTGTAACCGCGGCACTTCATGGATTATCCAAATCTATTTATAGGAACAGTACTCGAACTTTTAGGGAACCTGATGGATAAAGAGGTATGAAAGTCTAGTCAGGCATATCCAAGGCAATTCAGTAGAGCTTCGGATGTTGATCCGGCAAGGCGTTACCATAAGCCTTCATCAGAATAAAAAATTCACACAAAAAAAAACAACAACAACCCATTACATTCATTGGCGGATCCACTGAAAACACCCTAAAGCATTTACGAAAATACGATATTTTGGATTCTCCGAATTAGGAAAAAGATGTGCGGTACGGTTCCGTGTTCTTGCTCAGGGTAGGTGGTTTAATTTCAAAAAGAAATTGTAGCTGCACCGTCTCAGCGTACTCCAACGAGATTTATCCACGCAAAGAACAAACATTTCCCCACAGTGGTGTGTAGTTCAGGATCTCAGTCAACAGCTCTGGCTAAAGCACGTTTTCCAACTCATTATTATTACTATAAGAGTCGCCTTTGTCCTCGCGGAGGACGTATCCGTTCTCCTCCGCCTCGTTGTCGTAGTCTTCCCCGCACTTGCAGAACAGCTTGAGAAACGTCTGTCTGAACTTTGCGCTCATGGAACAGTAAAGCACGAAGTTGATGGCGTTGTTCACGAGGGCGCCGATGTCCATGACGTCGCCGAGGGGCATGTACACCGTGTCGAAGAACCCCTCCTTGCACGCGCTCATGGCGATGAGGATGCCCTGCGGCAGCTCCGTCACCAGGAACAACACTATCACCGTCATCAACATTTTCGTAGTCCTGGAATGCTCGTGGAGCTTGTGGTTGTTGGAGGCGGAGACCTTAAGGAAGTCCTTCCTCTGCTTCAGCTTGGCCCGCATCTGGTACAACAGCAGCGAGCCGAACATGGAGATCAGAAAGCACGGTACGAGCTTGGCCAGGATGGCGTACATCCAGACGTTGGCCAGCACGAGCGGGTTGGTGTCGTTGCTGCCCAGGCGGATGTGCTCCAGGAAGTAGACCGTCTGGTTCGGCGCCGTTTCGTTGGTGAGCGTCTGGTTCAACCCTGGACTACCCGAAAGGGTTTTCTCCTTGAGTTCATTGGTCATGTAATTTGGAATCATCACGAGGATCGATACGATGTACGTGCCGAGTACGAGGTATCGCGCTTGGATGTTTCTTCTGAGCCGAACGGAACTGGCCCGGGTGGGCGACCGGATGTGGAGGTACCTCACGATCGCCAGCACCACGCAGAGCCAAATGCTGATCGTGTGCGTCACGGTGGTCAGGCTGATGTGGAACAACAGGAAGCTCATCCAGCCCTTGGAGTTCCTCTCCGGCGACTGGGAGCTGCTCGGGTGGATGCAGTAGAAGTGGATGGCGAACGGCAGGTAGCTCAGCATCGTGATGATGTCGGAGACGGCCAGGCCCGTGAGGATCTGGTTGACCGGCGATCGCATGTGCTTCCGGGTCAGGACGGTAAAGTTAAAGGCGTTGGTGACGATCCCGCCCACACACACGCACAGCGAGACGTAGCCATGGTAACGGGAGTACCAGTTGGAGAAGTTGCTGAGATCTTCGTTGACCACAAAATCGTTGGACATCGTCACCTCGCCCGGAGCCAGGCATCGCACATTGTTGTCTAAGTACCTGCAACACACAAAAAAAAAATAATACAAATGTTGAATTTACAAACTCAGTATACTTAGTGAGGTACCAGCAATACAAAAATACAATTGACTTTGGTACATAGTGCGCTAGACTTAGTAAGATATACCTGCAATACTAATATAATTTGTGTGTCCTCCAGGCAACTCAAGATACGTTTTAACTTTTTTGGTGTAATTATAAATGACATGCCCTTCTTCGGAAAAACTAATTTGAGAGGGATGAAATAGGATGTGTACACTTTTATGAAATGAAATGATATAAGAGTAGTGAAAAGAGGTTTTAGATTTTCATTAAAAAAAACATCATACAATACAAATGATAAAAAAAAATATATATATTAAAAAGTCGCAGTTTAAAGCGTTGATGCATTGGGGCCACATTTACTTTAGTGTAACGATGTCCGAAAATGTAATGACTTTTGATAACTTAAAATAAAATTGTGCACAACGGATTTAACAATTTTCTGTTCTTGCATTTCAAGGGCCAGGTAATTGGGACGGGGGTACATTTTAAAATAGTTCTTGGTTTTCTTTTTTCTTATTTACTTGGGTGACATCGTTTCCGTCAAATTAATATTCAGAGACTCCCTCCAAAATTATTAAAGACGTCAGTATCGGTAAATTGATCATTTCTAATTGTTAACCATGAATTTTACTATCACTGTTTTTACCATTCAAATGATAGGAAAATTTGGGGGTCCTGTCGTGTTGGGTAACGGTACATTTTAACATGAATATCTCTTTTTTTTTCGATTATGTAACAGATTTGAACTATAATCTCAATTTGAATGTTAAATTAAAAACCTTACTGTGTTTATTATTTCCTGAAAATTTGCTTGAGGAGCCAGGCAAAGAGTTTGGGTCATTTTTTAAAGAAGATGCCAATACACGAAATACGTTCATGTTACAGATATTTCAACAGATAGATTTGTAGTCATTTTCTTTTAATTATGCTGTACGTCATAATCCGTTGCATTGACATGCATAAAAATGAGAGAGATTTTGGGACCTGGCAATGCAAGTTGTCTCTGTTAGTATGAATGAGAGTGCGTTCCTTTGTGGGTGATTTGAATCTGTATTAAAGCACCTAGACACGAGTAGGCGAGGAGTCCTCCTCCAATATAAGTCACTTCACGTTAAGTTTGAAAAGATATACTCATCTAATATCCGTGGAAACATCATCAGACAATCTTCAACATAGAACACCCCCCCCCCCCTTCCCAGGAAAGCTGACAGGGTGCGAGAGAGGCCAACGGTTGCATACAGTCTTTAGGAGAAGCCTGACAAAAAGATACATGGAGACTCAGGCTGGGGGCTCATACACAAACTATGGGATACATGGAGACTCAGGCTGGGGGCTCATACACAAACTATGGGATACATGGAGACTCAGGCTGGGGGCTCATACACAAACTATGGGATACATGGAGACTCAGGCTGGGGGCTCATACACAAACTATGGGATACATGGAGACTCAGGCTGGGGGCTCATACACAAACTATGGGATACATGGAGACTCAGGCTGGGGGCTCATACACAAACTATGGGATACATGGAGACTCAGGCTGGGGGCTCATACACAAACTATGGGATACATGGAGACTCAGGCTGGGGGCTCATACACAAACTATGGGATACATGGAGACTCAGGCTGGGGGCTCATACACAAACTATGGGATACATGGAGACTCAGGCTGGGGGCTCATACACAAACTATGGGATACATGGAGACTCAGGCTGGGGGCTCATACACAAACTATGGGATACATGGAGACTCAGGCTGGGGGCTCATACACAAACTATGGGATACATGGAGACTCAGGCTGGGGGCTCATACACAAACTATGGGATACATGGAGACTCAGGCTGGGGGCTCATACACAAACTATGGGATACATGGAGACTCAGGCTGGGGGCTCATACACAAACTATGGGATGCATGGAGACTCAGGCTGGGGGCTCATACACAAACTATGGGATGCATGGAGACTCAGGCTGGGGGCTCATACACAAACTATGGGATACATGGAGACTCAGGCTGGGGGCTCATACACAAACTATGGGATACATGGAGACTCAAGCTGGAGGCTGATACACAAACTATGGGATATATGGAGACTCAAGCTGGAGGCTGATACACAAACTATGGGATATATGGAGACTCAGGCTGGGGGCTCATACACAAACTATGTGATACATGGAGACTCAAGCTGGAGGCTGATACACAAACTATGGGATATATGGAGACTCAGGCTGGGGGCTCATACACAAACTATGTGATACATGGAGACTCAAGCTGGAAGCTGATACACAAACTATGTGATCCATGGAGACTCAGGCTGGGGGCTCATACACAAACTATGTGATACATGGAGACTCAAGCTGGAGGCTGATACACAAACTATGGGATATATGGAGACTCGAACTGGAGGCTGAAATACAAACTATGGGATACATGGAGACTCAGGCTGGGGGCTTATACACAAACTAATGGGATACATGGAGACTGAAGCTGTAGGCTGCTACATATATAGCGTTTTTTTCCCAGCAGTAACAATGCTTTTGGGGTAATTCATACATTGTGAGGTTTTTTTTAAACGCTTTTATCTTTGAATACTTGACATTTGTCAGAAACACCTCTACTGCGACACATTGATGTACTGCAGAGGCAAAGTAGCACAACATTGTTTTCTTCGCCAGAGTCAGTATATTATAATAAATCAGGAGTGCCCACCAGTGGCGTGAAGTGAATGAGGTTGAGACAGTGTGATGTATGTCTGCTGCTGACAGAAGCTCACGACAACATAGCTCTGTGCTAAGGGCAGGAAACCAGAGGTGTTATCAAATGGTTGCTGGAGAAGGGGTGATTCTTAAAAATCACATACATTAAAAAAAAAATTGTACATAGTCATTTATATGATTTGTATAAATTCACGCAAAAAATCTACAATTTTTGAAATCTTCAAGTTTCCTTAACATGACGTGTTGATCAATTTCACGTCGTACACAAGTAAACAATGGGTGGTGGGTGGCCCAACGGTCTAACCTGACTTAAACCAAAAAGCTGATGGTCTGGAATCCAATACCCACCAAATCCAAGACCAGCAAAAACAACCCAAGCAGTCCGGGTGGATGGAACTCGTTAGCCTTGGACGGCAACTCATCTAAGAGAAGGCAAACTCAGAATTCAAACAAGGGGCCAGAACGATCCACCAATTGGTCGCAGGCCCTCAAATATTATAGACAAAAAATACAATGGAGTAGTAGATTTTGTGACACCCGAGGGAGTCCTTTCCAAACCCCAGTCGCTAAAGAAATGCACAAATCAAAAATATTCCTATCAAAACAAAGCAATATTTAGAATATAACACTGCTCTAACCGACTCTAACCGACTCTAGTCAGTATTTCTTTCAGGTCCCTATCGAGACAAAAATATGTACCATAATAAAACGAAAATAATTTTATTAAAAAAAAACAAAAACAAAAAACCCAACCCCAAAACCTATTACATTGTCATGTTTATAACATTAAAAAAACGAAGAATAATAACTGTTGCCTTTAATCGTTGACAATTAGGGGGAGATATGAATTTTCGCTACGCTGGCTTTATTTAATGTTCCGTAGAGTTACAAAGCTAATCTTGTTAGAAGCTTACACTATTCGATTACAAATATCGTAATCTCCCAAAAAATTGGCCGCTCTTGGGGATAAACCGAAGTTTCACTTCACTTTGCTCGCATATATGGGTATTTTTTTTATTGATTTTTTTTTCTAGTTTCACAAGTTAAAGGACTTCAATAACATTGTATTAAACTACCCGTACATCAATATAAAGGTCCTTAATTTTAAAATATTTATTTCCAAGTATGAAACATGTGCAGTCTGTTTCCAAATTATACATCATCATAAAAGCATGACTTTTAAAGTAGATATTATAAATTGTGTTTTAAAAAGGATGACTTTTAAAGAAGATATTATGAATTAAATTTGAAAAGCACAAGAAATTCCTCAACAACACAGTATTTTGTTAAAATACTTAGCCTTTATATACATATATATGTTAAATTAACCAAGGATATCTCTTTTTAAAAAAAAAACGAAATCAGACTATCTGCACGCTTTATATTTTTTTTTAAAATTACATGTGTTAGAGATGAGAGAGAGAGAGAAAAAAGAAAAGAAGAACATCTGTTTTTGTGAACTAGCATTTCGAGTTTCATGCCAACTCTGTTTTTTTGGTACTAGCTTTTGAAAAGATTCATCTTTCTAAATCATCACTTTAAAATGACCTAAATGGATTTGTTAAAAAAAAAATTGTAAAAAGTAAATCAAAGAGGCAATCTTTAAATTAGCTGAAAAAATTGAAGTACTTAAAACTATCAAATAAACATTTCAATCCACTGAATATTGGGAAATATATACTTTATTTTTATACTATTTCCCAAAGATAAAAATCACACATTCACAAAAGTAATATATGCTGGCTTTTGTAAACAGCTCATGTCTTTCTCAAAATTACTATGCCGATGAAATACGATGTGTCAATTTGACCGGTTTTGAAAACCCATAAAATCAAAAGTGTTTTCTACAAAACAATATTGTATTTTTCCTGTTTTGACTCCGGTAAAACTTGGCAATATTGACAAAAAGTCATTAGCATACGTAAGTTCTTGAGTTGTTGTTGGTTTTTTTTTTTCATGTGTGTTAAACATTTAGAAAGGATGTAAACACATTTTTTTTGTGTTGGAAAACTTCTTTGTAATGGAAACCCTTTTTTGTGTTGAAAACCTTTTTCGTAATGGAAACCCTTTTTTGGTGATGGAAAACCTTTCTGTTGTTAAAACCTTTTTGAAATGAAAAGCTTTTTAGTGAAGGAAACGTTTTTTAGTGAAGGAAACGTTTTTTAGTGAAGGAAAACTTTTTAGTGAAGGAAACGTTTTTTAGTGAAGGAAAACTTTTTAGTGAAGGAAACGTTTTTTAGTGAAGGAAACGTTTTTTAGTGAAGGAAAACTTTTTAGTGAAGGAAACGTTTTTTAGTGAAGGAAACGTTTTTTAGTGAAGGAAAACTTTTTAGTGAAGGAAACGTTTTTTAGTGAAGGAAAACTTTTTAGTGAAGGAAACGTTTTTTAATGAAGGAAAACTTTTTAGTGGGATGGAAACCTTGGGCGGGCCACAATTTTTGCCACCTTCCATCTCACGATAAACTCTGCACTTCTGCGAGGACGACGCCCCTTCATAAAACAAAAAAAAAAAAGTGACACTCTGGGTGATCCATCTTTCTACGTCAATGACAGAGGCGTAGCAGCGGTGTTTGACACTTACGTTTTGCGAGATTCATTTTTACACCCTCATCAACTACTCATCATTTACATTCTCGTCTACTACCCATTATTTACCCATCATTTACACCCTCGTCACCTACCCATCATTTAAAACCTCGTCACCTACCCATTATTAACCCATCATTTACACCCTCATCAACTACTCATCACTTACACCCTCGCCACCTACCCATCATTTACCCATCATTTACACCCTAGTCACCTACCCATCATTTACCCATCATTTACACCCTCGTCACCTACCCATCATTTACCCATCATTTACACCCTCGTCACCTACCCATCATTGACCCATCATTTACACCCTCGTCACCTACCCGTCATTTACACCCTCATCAACTACCCATCATTTACACCCTCGTCACCTACCCATCATTTACCCATCATTTACACTCTCGTCACCTACCCATCATTTACACCCTCATCAACTACTCATCATTTACATCCTCGTCAACTACCCATTATTTATCCATCATTTACACCCTCGTCATCTACCCATCATTTACAACCTCGTCACCTACCCATTATTTACCCATCATTTACACCCTCATCAACTACGCATCATTTACACCCTCGCCACCTACCCATCATTTACCCATCATTTACACCCTCGTCACCTATCCGTCATTTACCCATCATTTACACCCTCGTCACCTACCCATCATTTACAGCCATTCAACACACCCAAAGCCTAATTTAGCCACCCACGGCCCTATCTAGTCTGGCGCCTGGGGAGATCTTTAGCTACACCTCTTGTCACTGGTAATGCCCCACCAGAAAATCTAAAATCTCCCCAAGCCCCAGAGTAAAAATTTTCTGAAAAAAATATTCCCCCCCCCCTTCCCACCTCCCGGGCTGAGTGAAAAGCACTATCCGCCCTCCATTCTTGTTGAGACCCCTACAAAATGATTTTGTTTACAATACTTTGCAGTCCTGTCAAATCGAAACAGTAGAGACCAAAACATACTACTCTGTTTATGTCCCCAGGCATGTTGACATGCTTTGATGTTTCCACTGGTGTGCACTGTCAATCAAGACGGATGTAGACAATTTTTTTTTAAAATCTGGATACGCATCACAAGAAAACGGGGTTACCAAAAAAAAACAACAACCCAACACACTATTTGAATGACTTGTCTAACGGCCATACTTGTAGTGCTCTAAAATAACATGACATAGACATTTTCAATCTTTCATACACAGGTGGATGACAGCGTCGTGGAGTGAAATGTAGTGGAAATAAATATATTGAAGTAGAATATGATTGGAGTAGAGTATAATTGTAGAATATGATTGTAGTAGAGTATGATTGGAGTAGAATATAATTGTAGAATATGATTGAGGTAGAGTATGATTGGAGTAGAATATGATTGGAGTAGAATATGATTGGAGTAGAATATGATTGGGGTATATTATGATTGGAGTAGAATTTGATTGGAGTTACATATAATTAGAGTAGAATATAATTAGAGTAGAATATGATGGGGTAGATTATCATTGGAGTAGAATATGATGGGGTAGATTATTATGGGAATAGAATATAATTTGGGTAGAATATGATTGGAGCAGAATATGATTGGAGCAAAATATGATGGTATAGATTATTATTGGAGTAAAATATGACGGGGTTTATTATGCTTAGAGCAGAATATGATTTGGTTAAATATGTTTGGAGTAGAATATGATTGGAGTAGGATTTGATGGAGTAGGACGTGATTGGAGTAGAGTATGATTGGAGTAGGATATGATTGGAGTAGAGCATGATTTGAGTAGGATTTGATTGGAGTATGATATGACTGGAGTGGAATATGATTGGGGTAGAATATGATTGGATTATGATATGGTTGGAGTGGACTTGGAATGTGGTAGAATTTGATTGGAGTGGAATATGATTGGAGTCAACTGTTTTGGGGTTGAGAAAAATTTATGTGAGTTTATTGGATTGTATTGAATAGTTTTGAAACAATATTACATTTATAGAATACACGGCGATAGATATTTGACAACTCTATTGAAAATTCTTTCATATTTGTATACATCTTGTTACTATGATTGCGTATATAATAGCATTCATTGGTCCATATAACAACATTCATTGGTCCATTAACAACATTCATTGGTCCATGTAACAACATTCATTGGTCCATGTCACAACATTCATTGGTCCATATAATGATATTCATTGGTCCTTATAACAACATTCATTGGTCCATGTCACAACATTCATTGGTCCATATAATGATATTCATTGGTCCTTATAATAACATTCATTGGTCCATGTAACAACATTCATTGGTCCATGTCACAACATTCATTGGTCCATATAATAATATTCATTCGTCCATGTCACAGCATGCATTGGTCCATATAACAACTTTCATTGGTCCATGTAACAACATTCATTGGTCCATGTCACAACATTCATTGGTCCATATAATAATATTCATTGGTCCATGTCACAGCATGCATTGGTCCATATAACAACTTTCATTGGTCCATGTAACAACATTCATTGGTCCATGTCACAACATTCATTGGTCCATATAACAATATTCATTGTTCCATATAACAACATTCATTGGTCCATATAACAACATTCATTGGTCTATGTCACAACATTCATTGGTCCATAAAATGATATTCATTGGTCCTTATAACAACATTCATTGGTCCATGTAACAACATTCATTGGTCCATGTCACAACATTCATTGGTCCATATAATAATATTCATCGGTCCATGTCACAACATGCATTGGTCCATATAACAACTTTCATTGGTCCATTTAACAACATTCATTGGTCCATGTCACAACATTCATTGGTCCATATAACAATATTCATTGGTCCATATAACAACATTCATTGGTCCATATAACAACATTCATTGGTCCATGTAACAACATTCATTGGTCCATGTAACAACATTCATTGGTCCATGTAACAAAAATCATTGGTCCATATAACAACATTCATTAGTCCATGTAACAACATTCATTGGTCCATATAACAACATTCATTGGTCCATGTAACAACATTCATTGGTCCATGTAACAACATTCATTGGTCCATATAACAACATTCATTGGTCCATATAACAACATTCATTGGTCCATGTAACAACATTCATTGGTCCATATACCAACATTCATTGGCCCATGTAACAACATTCATTGACCCATGTAACAACATTCATTGGTCCATGTAACAACATTCATTGGTCCATATAACAACATTCATGGGTCCATGTAACAACATACATTGGTCCATGTAACAACATTCAATGGTCCATGTAACAACATTCATTGGTCCATATAACAACATTCATTGGTCCATGTAACAACATTCATTGGTCCATATAACAACAATCATTGGTACATGTAACAACAGTCATTGGTCCATATAACAACATTCATTGGTCCATATAACTACATTCATTGGTCCATGTAACAACATTCATTGACCCATGTAACAACATTCATTGGTCCATGTAACAACATTCATTGGTCCATATAACAACATTTATTGGTCCATGAAACAACATTCATTGTTCCATATAACAAAATTCATTGGTCCATATAAAAACATTCATTAGTCCATGTAACAACATTCATTGGTCCATATAACAACATTCATTGGTCCATGTAACAACATTCATTGGTCCATGTAACAACATTCATTGGTCCATGTAACAACATTCATTGGTCCATATAACAACATTCATTGGTCCATGTAACAATATTCATTGGTCCATATAACAACATTCATTGGTCCATTTAACAACATTCATTGACCCATGTAACAATATTCATTGGTGCATGTAACAACATTCATTGGTCCATATAACAACATTCATTGGTCCATGTAACAACATTCATTGGTCCATGTAACAACATTCATTGGTCCATGTAACAACATTCATTGGTCCATATAACAACATTCAATTGGTCACTCCTACTTAGTCCATATAACAACATTCAATTGGTCACGCCTACTTAGTCCATATAACAACCTTCAATTGGTCACTCCTACTTAGTCCATAATTAAACAATCAATTGGTCACTCCTACTTAGTCCATATAACAACATTCAATTGGTCACTCCTACTTAGTCCATATAACAACATTCAATTGGTCACTCCTACTTAGTCCATATAACAACATTCAATTGGTCACTCCTACTTAGTCCATAATTAAACATTCAATTGGTCACTCCTACTTAGTCCACATAACAACATTCAATTGGTCACTCCTACTTAGTCCATATAAGAACATTCAATTGGTCACTCCTACTTAGTCCATATAACAACATTCAATTGGTCACTCCTACTTAGTACATATAACAACATTCCATTGGTCACTCTCACTTAGTACATATAATAACATTCTATTGGTCACTCTCAATTAGTCCACATACCTACATTCCATTATTCACTCTCACTTAGTCTCTATAAAAACATTTCATATGTCACTCCCACTTACTCCATATAACAACATTCCATTGGTCACTCCCCATTTATTCCCATGGCAGCGATCAAATAACTATTATTACTGCATCTACATTTAAAAAAAATGCATTAACATTTTTTTCCCCAAACATTCTTCATATCCTGGTAGTGTCATTCTTCTCAAACTAGGGATGAAATCCTGTTAAATATGATACAAATAGGTAACCATGGTCTTACCTTTGCAGTTAACCTTATATCATTCAAATGAAGAAGTACCTCGCTATGCAATGAATATTTTTTTTATTTAATGTGCCATGAAAAGATAATCACAAACCAGCGAATCTGCCAGTAGAAAAACACACGGGATCTTAGATAACTTAGGTCTAATGTCAAGCGAACACACGCGGGCTGTTCGGCTTCATGTGAGACTCGTCACAGGTAAAAGAACACCTGATATGTCGTAAAATGTCCGCAACCTTCGCCCCTCTCCCACAAAATCCCCCCCCCCCCGTTTTTTTCCCCCGCCGTTTGTTGAATGTCGTTTGTTGCAAGGCAGATCACTAACCTGTAATCTTAAAAGAACCCCTGATATGTCGTAAAATGTCCGCAACCTTCGCCCCCCTCCCACAAAATCCCCCCCCCCCCCGTTTTTTTCCCCCGCCGTTTGTTGAATGTCGTTTGTTGCAAGGCAGATCACTAACCTGTAATCTACGCATGCGTAAACAGCAATTTTCGCGTGCGCATATTTCAGAAGAGGCACAAAAGGTATTTTCACGTACAATAGCACCAATTAAAAAATCAAGACGAAGGATAAGACAGTGATTATAATATTTTTTAAACGACTCAAGGGGGGGGGGGTCAAAGGGCATTGCCGTAAATAACATCCCACTTAAGGTAGGAATTCTTTACATGTAAATAACAAGGAATGTGCTGTGACAGGACCACGTCTGGTGAGCAGCGAAACCTGATTTCTTGTCATGTCGACGTCAACCTCTGTAGGCAGGAGACGGCTGCGCACCGATCGCCCCTTTAATTGATAGGTGTGTTACCTTGTCTTGCAGAGATGTTTCGGGTTAACGTAAAAAAAAATGTAAACAATACACACAAAAAAAAATACCTGAGGTTTGACGGTGAAGAAGAATGAATGCCGTTCGTTAGTCGAATGATTGAAACTCTGGGGGAGTTCTAAGGCAGCGATTCTCAACTCTGAGGATCGCGGCCCATTTGAAACGACCATTACACAGGGGTCGGTTAAGATCATACTAAAACACATATATATGAAGTAGCAACGAAAAGAATTTTATGGTTGGGGGGGGGGCTACCACAACGAGAGGAACTGCATTCAAGGGTCACGGCATTAGGAAGATTGAGAACCGCTGTTGTCAGGTGAAGAAGTCCGCGTACGCAGTAGTGAACAAAAAAAAACGTACATCCATATGACAAACATACATAAGACAACACTATGTGGAGATTATTTATAGAAGAAACCAAACAAGATTTTGAAATGATAGAAAACATATTTTAATTAGCCGTGTTAACAAAATTCAAGATCACACAAACGTACAATTTTTTTTTTATTCACTGTTGCAAAATCTCGAGGCAAAATCTCGAAGCGTACAAGACCACGAGGTGGTCGTATAATTGATTTTCGTTCCGCCGTGGTCGAATAGCACATGTCTTACATTTAGATATAAATACATAAAAGTGAAATCATTGCGACTGCATAACAAGGCTCATTACGAGCGTTCAGTCCTTTGGAGGGGCGCTGTTGGATTGGCCTAGTTAAGTTCTGAGCTGGCGATTCTCTTCGAGCCAGAAAGCGATGTAAGGTTATTATTTTCAACATGAAATATTATTGAAATGGTGTGCGCCGATGAGACTCTAACTAACAGGGGAGTGGTCAGGGTTGGAAACGGGGGATTGGGGGCTAGCACGTAATAGCTTACTAAACAAGATAAATAACATCAAGTATAGAAGCTGTTTTTTTTATTTTCATTGCATCTCTATTTTTAAAAAAAAATAATTAAACACTAAAACATAGTAAAAAAGAGGAAACAGGTTGGGGAATAATTGACGTATTTATTGTAGTTGAGTTCAGAACTAATGAGATTCAGTCAATTTTACAAACAAACTTTTAAACGACTGAAATGGCAGCTGATAACTGACGGGCAGGGGAGTGGCTAGGAAAAGCGGCCAACGAGGCGATGCCTGAAAACGACCGTCCCTTCAAAAATGACGCCCCGGGGGTGGACCATGTCAAAGATGATTTTTCTGGTTCCTTTTTTTTTTTTAACATGGGATTTTATCGTTTGATTTAATGTTAAGGTCGTACTAAACACGATTTTGCCCCCCCCCCCCCCCCCAAAAGTCGGCCCCCCCGCGCGTGTCCCCCCTCCCCCCCCCCCCCCCCCCCCCCCCCACCCAATAAGTTGGCACCCGAGGCGAGTGACTCCCTTCACCCCCCCCCCCCTTCCTCCCTCTTCTTTTCTCACGGCCCTTGCTGACCTGGGTATGAAAACATAATTAAATTGGGCGATGAAGGCTTAGGTGGAAAAATTTAAAAAACAAAATAAATGAGATTTTGACAAAACAAAAAACAGAGTTTTTTTAAAAATATTTAGTGTATAATTTATTTTGACCTACCTGATAAGACTGTTCTTATCACCGTAGAGGGTTTTAATGCTTCAAGAAATAAACTGATATATCCAACCGTTAGTCAACGAATAGTAAAAAATGATATTCAAAGTTTATGCACGGTTGGTTGCCAGGCTGCGAACACCCCCCCCCCCCCCCTCTCTCCCAATAAAAAAAAAAGAAAAAAAAAAAAAAAATAATCACTTGGCATGAGGACAGAAACCATCATCATAATGGCAAATTTCAAGGGAGTTTACTGGACATAACTGTCAATCAAGTGCATTTTCATGAGTTTTTCCCCTTATTGCAATGTCTTCTTTGAAAAAAATAAATACAATTTTACTTTTTTTTATGAAGCACGAGAGGTGTTTATTAACGGGGGGGGGGGGGGGGGGGNGGGAGTGTGAGGGGAAGGGAGGAGTAAATCAAATTAACATAAAAGTTTTATTAAAAAGAAATAAATAATAGTTCTTTGTTTTTTTGTTGAGTTTCTGCATTTACAGTGTGTTAGAAGTGGACCATAGCTCCTACCATTATGCAGCCACCATATGTGTCATTAATTCAGCCTCCTGCAATGCAGTCATCATAGGTGATTTGGGGGAAACACGAAACAGACACTCATCTCACTTTACAAGAAAAGACCTTGTTACTTATGGGGGACACACATTTCCACCATTAGGACACACCTTACAAAAAATATGACATAGCATTAAAAAAAAACAATGAGACCACACCTTTAAAACGATGGGGCTCAAACTACTATCAATAGCACACGGTTTACGAGTGTAGAACGCACGTCATTTCTGCCAGGACACAACTTAAAATTTAAAAGAGCACCTCTAAATACTAAATAATGACAAGACACAACTTACTAACACCCGGACACACCTCTATATCAATGGGGGCGTGTCTAACAGGCTAAAGGACACTTTTTTTTCTTTTTTTTCCATAGATGGATGTCTTTGACTTTAACACACCTCCGTTACTAAGCCAACAACCGGTTAAAAATAAATCGTTTAAACGGTAATCATTGTGCTGGGTGAAAAAGTGATATTATTATTATTTTTATTATTATTATTATCATTACCCTTATTATTGAGAACTTTCATTAAAAAGATTGAGTGCATGAAATTGATATACCCAAATGCAATTTCATGATTGTGTTAAATCTCTCGTAAAACCAGACTTGCCAGGACTCCATGCCGTTCCCAAGGCATTCTGTCGGACATCACATCTCGTATAGAGCAGCACTGGATGGCGTTTCACAATGAATATCGGGGGGGGGGGGCGTTTTTTTTCTCCTGCAGTAGGAATTGTGGATTGTTTCACTCCCGGTTTCTGTAATATTAAAGCACTTTTCCAGATTATATTCCATCACAATTCGGACATCAAATCGCGTATAGAGCAGCACTGGATGGCGTTTCCCAATGAATTTGGGGGGGGGGGGGCGTTTTTTTTCTCCTGCAGTAGGAATTGTGGATTGCTTCACTTCCGGTTTCTGTAATATTAAAGCACTATTCCAGATTATATTCCATCACAATTCCGAGGCTGAACGGTCTAGTAAGGAAAATAATTGTACTCACACGGGGCGCATTAGTTCAAGAAACTGAATTCCTAGTCTCTTGAGCCTAGACGTTATCAGAATATGTCAGGATTTTTCTGGAATATGGACTTAAATTTCAATCATAATAATAATTGTTATTTTTCAAATATTTTTTTTTATTTATTTTTTTTTTTTATAAAATTTGATTTTAATTATGAAGCCATTGAAGCATGTCGCTTCTCCTTCTCAATGTTGCGCAACTTTGAGTTTATTTGACAAAACGCGTTGTGTGAGTCGGTAATCGATAATTTAATGTCTAGGACCCGGCTCTGCCTTTATATTGAACATGCCTAAAACTCTTAACAATAGGATATGGATCGATTTGTTATAGATTGATTTTTGTTTGGCGTTGGCGGGCAGCTTATTTAATTATGAAACAAGTTATTGATTTTATCAGTTTATCTTATGGCGAAAACATTTGATATCTACGGGGGATCTTCTGAGACTAAATGTTATACGATTTTTTAAAAAATTATTGAAACGGAATTTAATCACAGAGACTCATCATGAAGATGATGAAATGTGACCAAAAACATTTGACTTGCTTCTCTATTTTCAATTTTTGTAAAAAAAAAAATGTGTACCGGAGAGTACATCATCAGCTCTATGACCTGACTGGGCTACATGGGTCCAACACATTTGAGATCTATGTCCAGCCCGCCGGCTTCACGGGTCCAACAAATTATGTACGCACAGACTTTCAAACTAAATGTGTGTCACATGTACCGGTGACAATAGCAGAATAATTTGAAGGAAAGCCTAGTCATAGATCAAAACCATTTTTTTTTTTTACAAAGTATTTTTGCATATTTAATTATTTCTATATCAAATTTGATAACTCACCATTTTTATACACGGATTACACGACTTACATTTAAACAGAGCTTCTCAAATTGGCGTTCTCTGAGCCAACTCAGATGACCGAGAAAAATCAACAGGGGTATTCAAAAAAAGAAAAGAAACAAAACAACAAACAACAAAATAAAAAAAAAAAAAAATTGAATAAAACCCTAACTTGATCCTAATTGAAAAAGTGTCTCTTTATTTTTGATATTGCCCTTTC